GGACCGCAGTTCGACACCCCTGCTCTAGAACCCTCCGGTCTTCTGGTCGTGGCTTTTTAATTAAACCCAAAGCCAGAACGAAAACACACGGTGAAGCAGCATTTTGCTGTTACAGCCCACATCTCTGGAACACCAAGTTGTGGGCACCGAGGGCAGCAGCAAGGGCTGATAGTTTTAAAAGCAAACTCAAGGTATACTTTTTCAATTCAGGCTTTTGATTGATTTGATAGATTTTTTTTTTTAAATGTAGTAATTGTTTTATTTATTGACTTCTCTATTTATTTACCTATTTATACGTTTTAGACTTTTTATTACTTCATTTTGTCATTTCTTTTTTTTATTATTATTCTCCCCCCATTCTTCTCCCCCACTTTCCGGTTTGTTTCTCAACTTTTCTAACAAATGAAGGCAAAAAAGCCAAAAAAAAATAGCTTTAAAAACAACAACAACAAAAAACTCTGCAATTTCTTGTGTCTACATATATTCCACCAACTATAAAACATGTGGTCTCAGTAAGAGGCAAACTTTATGAGAAAAAAAGAATTAAAAAATGTGGTTTTACTGCATTTAAGCCAGATACCAGGACAATCATTGAGCAGGTGTGACGGTGAAACCACTCTGATAGTGTTAAGTTTTATAAATCCTGCTTTTCCGACTCATAATTTAAGTTATTGGCCTGCTACGTTTTAAAAAGGGCAAATTTCTTATGTTCTTTGTTACATTATTGTCTTCTACAAACTACCAAAATACACTACATGCCTCCAGACTTTTCGTCCTCTGAACCCTTTTCATTTACGCTGGATGCAAAGCGCTCTCTCAGCTATAAAGTGAATTCAGCAGCATGTGGAGGACATCCAGTAAAATGAGCTCACTTTGTCGCAGCAGTACGACAACACCTCACGTCTCAGGAGAATACGCAACGAGAACAAAAAATAGCCAGAATGTAAAAGTAGGTCTCACACACTCACACACACACATATGCAGCGGTGCCCAGGAAGGCCTATTTCTGTCTACTAAAATACATTACAACAGGGGAGAGCTATTCATACCTTCCCAGGTCAAACATGTGAAGAGCAGCAGAACCAACAGTTAGAGCAGCCGCAGGAAGAACACATGTAACATGAGGAAAGTGAAGCATTAACCCCTGTGGACATGTATGTCATTGTAGTAACTTTTTTAATTAGGTAAGGGGGACACAGCAGGCCCAAAGCAGACGCTGCTATCTGTTATTAACACACACGAAACTTAGCAGGTTCATCACTGTGGACACGAGGAAGTGCAGAACCGCTGGAGTTAATGGATTAGTTTATGACTTTGATCAGGCGTCTGGTAAATGATGGAGGAGGGACGTGGACATAAGATGATGATTAGATGACTTAAAATGTTGGTATGACAAGGTCTTGATATTTAATTAGACTTTTTATATTAATCATATCGTTTCAAAAAGTCTTTGCAATAATTGAAAATTCAGTTGTTATATATGTTCTTTTAAAAACAGCTGAATTCATCAATAAAAAGTACAATCGTACGGCGTGACACCAGACCACAGGCAAACCTGTTCTGTTCTATTTATATAGAAAAAGCTGCAGTCCTGGAGATCAACAGAGTCTTTCCAAAAAAAGGAAAACGTGAATAAAAGAAGAGAGAAATCCAACACACTGTCCTTTTGTTTGCACTAAAATATATATAAAAATACAAGTTCTGGTCTTTAGTCCATCATCTGGTTCTTCATCTGTCCTTAAACGTGACTAAAAGTCCACGAAAGTTTGGTTTTCTCCTCTTTTATCTGAGAAAACTTCCATCCGTCTACCGTAGCTGTAGGTGTGCACGAGCCAAACAGTGAGGTTTTTAAAGCTAACAGAAGCTGGACCTCGCTGCTGTGAGCGTACGGCTGTTTGTTCCCCTCTGGTGTTTATAGTCTCACAGGACCAGAGATGTGTTTACACACTTACAACCAGGGACAACATGTGGCTGGTTCCTCTCTAATCAAGTCTCTGGTTAAAGCCCCACAGGACGAGTGTTACCTGAGGGCCTGATGTGATTTAGAAATTACCCCAAATGCTTG